TGCTCTATAAAAGTTACTTGTAAATTTCAAGGTCCTGGCGCAGAAAGAACCAGAGTTCAGCTTCTTTTCTACCCAGATCATTTACACTTGCACTTGTTTCTTCATGGGATGAACACTTCAAAACAAATAGGCAGCGATTCCCTTGTTTCTGATCTGTTACAGAAATAGGTGGATGCCACGACCAGTGTCAGCTCCACTCCACACGGAGGTTTAGTGAAGAGAACAGGAGCTTATTCACAACATCAAGCTCTAGGCTCAGAAGGAAAAAATTAACCTGAAAACAAATAAGGCAAATCCTTATTTTTCATGAAAAAATGGCAGAGGCCCTTTTAGGCAGAAGTATGTCTTTGCTTTTGCATTATTTGAGAGCTGAAATGTATTGCTCTTTCTGAGAACTTCAATTCAATGTATCGTTTATCCTCAGTATGTAGGACTTTGAGTTTTTCTGCATAATTTTTTTTTATGATTCAGTTTGGAGAAGCAGAGATAAAGGACACAACGTATAAACAATTTGTCTTACATATTCATCCTTCTGAAGGGCATAATTTTAATGTTTAACTTTGCTTTTTAATAGAATTTCTTATTTCCATTTCATATTGATGAGATGGTTGAATAGTCCGAATTTAAACCATAGTCACTGAAGACAATTTAAAGAGTAAAACACTGAGTATTATGTCACCCTGATGTTGCTTTTCACCATTTTCATGGATATTTTTTGTCAAACATTTATATCAGCACCTTGTGTATATCTCTTGGGTTTTTAAAATAATGACCTTTTACAATATTAAACTTGCTCTTGGATAAGAAACATAAAGATGTCCTTTAATATGGTAGCCGCATTTAATAATAATATAAAGATGTGATGATGAAACCCTAAATAGTGAAGTAAGACTTTCTATTTGACATTCTTCACATTGTTAACAAGATGATGAGAGAATTGATAACATCAATTATTGAGAGGATGGTTAATTCGCATGGGGCACATTTAGGAAAAGTTTGAACTTTTTAGTCACTGTGCTGTTGATTTGGTTTGGCCATCTTCACAATGTGCAATGATAACCCAGTTCTCATTTTATCTGTATTGATTTGGGCTTCAGAAGGTGGAAGGAAAAGATTTTTCCCAACCTTTCAAATGTTACTTCTGCCCAAAGTGTTATGCTCCTTCTTATGTTATTTAAAATCATTCCATAAGGCAGTTTCTTTCATATACATTGAAAAAACTCAGTTGATGTTGCAAAGAGCAATCTGTTTTCCCAAAGTTAACTTTGGACGTATATGCACTCATACAGTGCCATTAGAAAACTTAAACAAAAACTCAGAGAATGGTTTGGAAGGACAAGCTGAAATTTTGGAATCTTTAATTCCTTCCTTGATGATGAAGAGGCAAATATGGCTCTTCAGTTTGTAAATAATGCAGTGATTCTAGAACCAAATAGATGGCACTGAGTTTATGGTAACCATGTTATCTGGAAATCACTGCACAGATCATTTTTATTGCCAAAGAATCTCAGTTCAAATTCCTGTATTCCGAAATTATGCCACAAAAGGCAACTTTAAATATAGTTTAAGTACTATAAATACTATACGCGGTACCAAGCATAATAAACACTCCAAAATGTTTACTAATTACCATACATAGAGCTTAGGAAATGCATGTGTTATATTTATGTTACTCTAAGTGTGTATTTTTATTTTTATGTATTTAGAGTAAATTGAATGCAAAAATCATTTTTAATGGCTTACTTGTTTAAAATAATATTTGGTAAGAAAGTCTAGGATGAAAAATAAAATCAAGAACAGATCTCTGGATATTTTCTGAAAATACATTTTTTGTTACATTTCCAATGTAATAAAAACAGTACATTTATTACTTTTAATATGGAAAATCCAATGTGTAGTATTTTCAAGAGTCCTCGTGCTAAGTGCTTCATATGCATTAATGAATTATTTAATTCTTTGAAGAGTTCTATGAGGTGGGAATTCCTTTATTCAAATTTCTCAGAAGAAAAATCAAGGCCTCCAGTTGCACGGCCTGGGTCAGGCGACAGTGGTGGGGAAGCTAGGATTTAATTCAGGTCTGTCTTGATTGCATAGCTGGGGCTCTCGCTCACTCTCCTCCCTTTTCCTGGAACCGCAGAGAATCCACGCTTTCGTCTGTCGTGTGTTCGCATGCAGATTTGTAAGCAGTGCTGAAAAATTGCAAAACGAGAAATCATGCAGGAAAGCCACAGACTTTGGGAATAGTCGGTTTTGTCAGTGACCTTGCTGGTTATGTGAGTTACAGGACGAACGAGACAGTAAAATCTAATCTTTCCCTCTCTTTAGCTTTGTAATAAAATCGTGTTTCTGGTGAGTTTTGTCGGAAACCGCGGCACGTTCACCCGAGGGTACCGAGCGGTCATCCTGGATATGGCCTTTCTCTACCACGTAGCGTATGTCCTGGTTTGCATGCTGGGCCTTTTTGTCCACGAATTCTTCTATAGCTTCCTGGTGAGTACATCTCTATGTGGACAATTGCTGCTGAAAAAATACACAATGCTTCTTCCTTTGATTTTTTTTTTTTTTAAAACAGGGCTTGGCATTTAGGACAAATTATGTATTTTTAGACCTCCCTAGGAAAATCATGCATTGTTATTATTTTTAGTCTTTTTTCTGTGAGAAACCAAAGAGATGGTGCAGTTCTTTATTTCCTCCCTGAGTCCCACCCTCTTGACCCAGGCACCACATAGGCAGGCTGCTTTTGGTTTCAACCAAATCATACTTTCCTTTACATTTAGAGGTTCCTCAGGAGAGTGTGGAAGAAAAGGGATATATTTTCTTGGTACTGAATTCATTGTATTTATTCATAAAACCGAGTATTTTGTGTATCTTTAGAACAGCATATAAATAAAATGAGGGGGGAGAAACCGACTTAGCAAAAAGACAGTGTTAAGTACAGTCTTACAGTTTCAGACTTAAAATGTCATTGCTGTGAAGCATATTTACATATAGCTATTCATTAAATGGATTTTCAGATTTCTTCTAGAGTTGTTTTTTGTTCTTGTTTTTCACTGGTTATCAATTTTCCTTCCTACATATATGTTCTGTAGCCATAAGCCAGGACAGGAGTCAATACAAATATATGATAATGTTTTGAAACTGAGAACCCTACCAGGTTAGCATCACGATCCCACGGGAGCAATTTATTTGTATCTTCAGCTCATAGTTGATATGCAGAGGAGCTCGCTCCTCAATAGAATCATTCCTGAAAACAGGTCGAGGATCTGAAAACATTATACAGACCCGGTTTGCTTGGGTCATGAGGGACAAATCCATTGCCTTCTGCTTCCCTGTGCCTTGTACAATCCACGTAGGATGACTGCATAAGCAGCTAATTTTCTATTTACCCTCAAATACTTGTAAGAGGCACAGTGAAGAATGGATTTGTCCCATGTGTTTTGATACAAAGTCACCTTCTAGACAGTTAAGTTAGTTTAGTATTCAGCAATCAAAAGTAGATTTTTTTTTTTGTATTCCAGGGATCCGAATGAATTCCTTCTGTGCTCTGATTCACCAGAAAAAATTCCATTTTAAAAAATCTGCCCATGATATATAAAGTCCTATTATACCCAGTACTTTTACCTGGCTATAATATGTAGTATTTATTATAATGTTTTTGTGCTTCAACCTGTTGGACAGGGATAGTGTGAGAGACTGGTAATGTCAAGATCCTGTAACAAAATAATATGAAAGACATGTGGAATGATGTATGTAAATCTTTGTAATTTAGGGAAAGTTTTTTTGACACACTGAAGGTGTATTTGAATTATTATATGCATTATTAATGGTAATGTTACTTTTAATTTATGTTAACATTGTTTTCTACTTGTATTTTCCTCTTGTCTTTTATCCTTCAAATCCTACAATACTGATGCTAATTTGTTTTCATTGGGTTAGTTATA